TATATAATTCCCTGAGAAATTATTTATAAATAATGAATTATCTAGGTCACCATCTCCAGAACCATTTTATGATTCACAGGGGAAAAGAGTTAATACTCGTGAATATCGTTATCGTAAAAAATTAGAGGATGAAAGACACAGATTAATTGAGGAGACAGTCAAGAAAGATCCTGATTTTAAACCACCTGCAGATTATAAACGCCCTACCAAAGTTCAAGATAAAGTTTACATACCAGCTAAGGAATTTCCAGAAATCAATTTCATTGGTTTGTTAATTGGCCCTCGTGGTAATACATTGAAAAAAATGGAAACCGAATCTGGTGCTAAAATTAGCATTCGTGGTAAAGGAAGTGTCAAAGAAGGAAAAAGTAGAACTGATGCTGCCGCAAATTCTAATCAAGATGAGGATCTCCATTGTTTGGTTACTGCTGATACTGAGGAAAAAGTGACGATTGCTGTAAAAATGATTGACAAAATTATTGAAAATGTAAATTTTATTTATTTGAGATGGGTTTAAAAATAAAAATACATCAATTATTTAATATATTTTTTTTTAACACAATAATAGTCAGCTTCCGTTCCTGAAGGTCAAAATGAACTTAAAAGACAACAATTACGTGAATTGGCAGCTCTTAATGGTACACTGAGAGATGATGAAAATCAAATTTGTACAAATTGTGGTGCAACTGGTCATAGAAAATATGAATGTAGTGAAAGTCAAAATTTCACTATAAATCTTACTTGTCGTATATGTGGTGGTCATGGTCACACTCTCAGAGATTGTATGGAAAGAAATAATCCAGAAGCTTTACAACAAGCCAATCAAAGAGAACAAAGATTAGATAGTGAATATTTGAATTTGATGGCAGAATTAGGTGAAGATATTAATGATGCTTCAATTAAAACTGTATGTATTATCATTGTTGCTGTTGTTGCTGTTGTTGTTGTTATTTTCTTGATAGCAAAAAAATAACAATTATAAAAATAATAGGGCCATTATGGGCCTACTAATGCAGCCAAGCTACCGTGGGCCCAAGCTGCTGCAACACCATTAACACCTTGGGCTGCAGCTGCAACTGCAACTACATCAATGAAAACTCCTACAGTATTGTCTACAGTACCTCCTTGGCAATTACAGCAACCTGTAGCATCCCCTACAATTCCTCCACCGCCAGGTAAATGTGTGTTCTTTCCTAAATGTAATAATAATATAAATAATAACAATAATATATTAATTATCATTAGGTTTAAGTAATTCGCCACCGCCACCGCCACCAGGGACACAAGAATCATGGAGTGCAAAAACTGGTTCTATTAATACTAATACCTCATCAACTACTACATCTCTTTATTCAACACCGCCGCCACCACCGCCACCTGGCTCTTCTTTACCATATACATCAGCAACAACTGTTGCATCTTCTTACTATTCATTTGCATCTACTCCAACAACCGGTTATACTTATCCTGCTTATTCGAACAATGCTACTAATTACGGTAATACTGTTTATTATGGAACAACTGGTTACTCGCCTGCAGCAGCTGCAGGTTATCCTCCACCTCCTCCATCAGCAATTACACAAAGGAGATATGGTACTTATTTTGTTCTTTGTTCTTAACATCTCTGATCAATTTAGCTATGGTTATTGCTGGTCCCATTAATAACCCACCCATAAGAACTTCTTGACTTAGCTCTATGAATGCAGAACCAGAGACCCTTTCTTTTTTAATTATATCGATGTCTTCATCACAAAGAAATAGTCCATTTCTGAACTTCTTTGACTAATGAAAATTGAGTATTGGACATAACTATGTTTGAATAAAATAATTGTAGAATTAGAAAATTTTTTTATAGTTTATGCAAACAATCAGATTGTTATACAACAGAGCATGCTAGATCATCCATATGATTGTGTGTCCAGAAGTCTTTGACACATTGAACCATCATAATGATAACAATACAGTCCATAACTACACCCACAACATAATGATGACTATATTTTTAGTCAAATTTTTAATTCCTTTTGGAACGCCAATTACTTTTGCCAAGAAAAAAAATTTGAATGTAGTAATGATGATATCATATGACACTATCAAATATGTATAGGAAGGGGAATATATAATTATCATATGCAAGATTTGAGTGCAATGTTCAGGTATTTAAATATCCAAATCATTGATGGTTTCAGGCATAATTCTATTTTTATTAATAACCAAAAATAAAACAAACATACTT